TGCCTACACACCACAACAAAACTCGGTTGTAGAACGTAAACATCAGCATTTATTAAATGTTGCTCGGGCTCTCTTATTTCAATCCAATGTTCCTCTCATCTATTGGTCTGATTGTGTGCTCACAGCTGTCTTTCTGATAAATAGAACTCCTTCATTGGTTTTGAACAAATTATCACCATATGAAATCCTTTTTCATAAACGACCTGAGTATTCTTTTCTTCGATCATTTGGTTGCCTTTGTTATGTCTCTACTCTAGAAAAAGATAGACATAAATTTACTCCTCTTGCTAGGCCTTGTGTTTTCTTAGGATATCCACCTGGTTACAAAGGTTACAAAGTTCATATCGAGACTCATGAGGTAAGTATCTCTCGTAATGTGATTTTTCATGAACAAATTTTTCCATACAAAAATCTAGGTTCATCTTTTTCTTCTTCTCCTGATTTGTTTGGTGAATCCATAATGCCTATGCTCATTCCAGTAATCTTAGATGATAGCATTCCTACATCCCATACTCATAATACATCTAGGACTGTTCATTCTAGTCCTAATACAAATCATGCATCATCTGCATCACACTCTAGTGCTGCATCGACATCACCGGAGACTGTAACTACTGGTACAGGACAAGTGGCACTACCCATTGGGAGACCCAAACGACAGGTGAAAGCTCCAGGTTACTTATCTGACTTTCATTGCCATTTCACTCAAATTTCTACTCCTTCAACAACTCGGTATCTTCTTTCTTCTGTGTTATCATATTCTAACCTCCATCCCTCCTATCAGTCCTTTGCTCTTTCTTGCACAACTGAAACAGAACCACAGACTTTTAAGCAAGCTATGGCTCATCCTCACTTTCCAAAAGCCATGGATGGTGAACTAGCAGCTCTTGAGACTAAAGGAACATGGAGTGTTGAGTCTTTGCCTCCGGGTAAACATGTTATTGGATGCAAGTGGGTGTACACAATCAAGTATAATCCCGATGGGTCTGTGGCACGTTATAAGGCACGATTAGTTACCAACGGATACACACAGCAGGAAGGGATTGATTACATCGACACATTTTCACCAGTGGCTAAGCTGGCAAGTGTCAAACTGATACTGGGATTGGCTTCTCGTTTCAACTGGACTCTCACACAAATGGACGTCACAAATGCCTTTTTGCACGGTGATGAAGAGATCTTCATGAGTCTTCCACAAGGTTATACACCAGCTCAACCAGGTTCTCTTCCTCCTAATCCCGTGTGTCCTCTTCATAAGTCCTTATATGGCTTGAAACAAGCATCACGTCAATGGTACCATTGTTTTTCAAACGTGGTCTTACAGGCTGGTTATTGTCAATCTCCGGGTGATAATACGCTTTTTGTTAAGCAAACAAAGACTTCTCTTACAGCGTTATTGGTATATGTGGACGATATACTAATCGCTTCTAACAGTGCTTCTGAGTTACAGCTTCTCAAAGACGCCCTCCATGGAGCTTTTGAGATCAAAGACATGGGTGCTCCTCGGTTCTTCCTTGGGTTGGAGATAGCTCGTAACTCTTCTGGTATTTCAGTATGCCAAAGGAAGTATGCGCTGGACATATTGGCCTCGACTGGGATGTTGGCCTGCAAGCCGAGTAATACTCCTATGGATCCTACGGTACATCTCAGTAAGGACTCGGGCACATTACTGGATAATGTTTCATCATACCGAGCTCTTATTGGACGCCTCCTTTACTTGACGATCACACACCCTGATATTACCTTTGCTGTGAATTATCTGAGTCAGTTCTTGTCTTGCCCGACGGATCTCAATCTCCAGGCTGCTTATCGTGTCTTGCGATATTTGAAGTCTAATCCAGGTCAAGGAATTTTCTATGCTTCTGACTCTGATATCTGCTTAAACGGTTTCACTGCTGCAGATTGGGCTACATGTTCCGATTCAAGAAGGTCTATCTCAGGCTTCTGTGTATATCTTGGCAAATCTTTGATCACATGGAAGTCAAAGAAACAGCAGACCGTGAGCCGTAGTAGCACAGAAGCAGAATACAGAAGCATGGCTCTTGCGCCTTGTGAATTGCTCTGGTTGGATCAACTTCTTAAGGATTTGAAGATCGAAGTTCAAGCACCTGCTAAACTCTTCTGCGACAATAAATCTGCAATGCACATCGCAACAAATCCCGTTTTCCATGAACGGACGAAGCACATAGAAGTTAACTGCCATACTGTCCGGGATCAAGTCAAGTGTGGTTTCTTGAAACTCTTCCATGTCTCGAGCTCTAATCAGCACGCTGACATTTTGACGAAACCACTTCACCCTGGACCTTTCCATTCACTCCTCCAACGTATGTCCATTTCAAGCCTCTTCCATCCTGATACAAAGAAGGTTTCGAGTAACAGTCTATTCTTGGATTCTGATCCACCTGAACCTGTCTTGATTTCAGAGGCTTGAGTGGGGTGTATTAGAGTAAATACCGGTTTAATGTATTGGTACAATCATGGTTAAGTTTCCTTTTGCTTTCCATGTATAGATATTGAACTTTGTAATCTCATTTGTTCAATAATGAAGAAGATAATTTTCCTTAATACCCTACTTAAGCATACATTTATAAAAACTTGATATAAGGTTCCCCAATCGAACCCAATCTTTGAAGAACAGAGGAATCTGGAGATTGAATTTTACATGGGTTTTTCTCGAACTGATAATGAACTCAAAATCTTACAATGGCAACAGTTAAGCTCTGTCAGAACAAAGTCCGGCGTGATCAGAACCTCTAAAGACCTTCTCGGGGAGACTCGTAAGGAATGGGGAAGAGAAGACGTTTCTTTCTGAAGTTTTTTCAAGAGAAGGTTTTTTTTTTAAACTAAGATTTGTAGAGGACATGTGTCGCTCTCTTCCGTACTGACGTGGCGATCAGCTGGAGAGAATTGATCACGTTTTATATATAAGACTAGTGGATTGTCCGCGCTACGCGCGGTGTTTTCTTTAATTATTTGCTTAAGTTATTATATTTTGTAATATTCAGATGTTAGTATTCTTTTCTCATATTCTTTTATTATTGTAATTATAGGCTGCATAGGATTTTTTTTATTAAAACAATGTGTGCATATATTAGACAATTTGGATTGTTATTATCCATTGTACAATACATTCATAATGAAAAATATGGTTGCAATGGTAGAGAGTTGACATTTTTCCTTCCACTAAACGTTTGCAAACATATTGGACAATCTTTGTTTCTAAATAGATTGAACAGTCTTCGCTTCCTAACCGTTTCATTAAATTATATACGCATATGCTTAAAATGATTTTTCTATTTGTTCTCTAGTTACTGTATCACCAAATCTTAATATTTTTTTGTGAGGAAAAAAAAGTAAAAGAAACTTCTAAGTTTGCCTCTAAACTTGGATAGCCGGTTACTGGGTAGCTTCATTCGAAATCATAAGATACCTAATTGAAATTTGAAGATTGGTTTTGAATCAGATTGGAAAAAAAATTGAGAATTTTGGTTTTGCGAAATGATTTTGGAGATTTATGTTTGAAATTCGATGAAAAGAACATTGTAACTAAATAAAACTCTTGATGTTTACTTTCGTGGATCCAAAATGGCTTGATCGATTCAAACTTAATAAACTATTTGGTGAGCAATAATTTAGGGTATTATTTTGGCCAATTATGGGAAATTTGAGATTTGCGAGATTTTGTAACTATTTCCCTAACTTTAGCTTTAGTATGTTAGTTACTTGAAGAAAACAAAAATAAGTTAGAGACGGTAACATCAATATCCTTATCCTTTGTAACTCACTAACTCTTGACGCTATTCCCTAAAAAAATATTTGACTATAATGTAAGAAATAATGCATATAATAACATTTGGCTAGTGTTGTTCCGCGCATCTTTATGTTATGTAGTACTTATTTTGTTTGAATATGAAAGATGTTTTAGGAAATAAATTTATTTTAAAATATTAGATGTTCTCATATTTCAATCTTTTTAAAAATTTATTAAATAATGTTTTTCCAATTATCTTATTTGATTATTTTTATAATTGGTTAAATTGTACGTAATTATAACATTAAATGATGTTTTTTTTTGAAAAATGTAGATTTATTTATTTTTGTGCCTTTTGTAAAATATCTTACAGTTTGAAAACGGAGAGAGTATTTTATACTATCTTTAGAATTATATGTGATTCTAATAATTTAAAAGAAAAATTATATTTGTGAAAATGTAAGAAATCAAAGTATTTTAGCCCAACTGTTTTTTATCAATTGAGCTGGAATTCGTAAAAACAATTCTTTATATTTAAATAATTCTAGAAATTAAACTATAAACATTGTATAAGTTTTGTACATTTCCAGAAGTTTTGATACTATAATAGTTCATGATTTAAGACTATAATTTATCATGTTCTTTTAAAAAAAAAACAATTTTGATTAAGTGACGAACTTCTGGTTTTGTCACTCTCTTAATTATTAGTTGCACTGAGAAGTTGTTTGGGACAGCAGTAGTATTCTTAGAATGTTTTAAAAATTTAAATTTGTGATAACTAATTAGATAACCAAAACAAAATGTCGATTTTAACTCTAATATTTGGTATTGAGGCCGAATAATATATTTATGTCTTTATGCTTATGTTTAAGATGACACTTTTAAGTCTTAACCATCCCATATTTCTGTCTTTATGCTTATGTTTAAGATGATTCTATGTTTTTGATCTTCCATGCCATCATTTATAGTTGGAGGTTTCTTTTAAATATCGGAGATACATTCTAGCATGCGTTCCTATAAAAGCTTAATCAGTTAAGCTCAACTCTTCTGATAATTCTTTTAAGACCTGCAACTTCAATATGCTATCCTTTGGTTTGTTACCTCGAGAGACGTAACGTACACATGCGAAAGATGAGGCAGTTTTTTAGGTCAAATATTGTGATGAAACATGGAGACTGTTGTACCCACATCTGTCATGTTTCTAATTCTTAAACAAAGAAAATGGATTCACCTACATATTCTAAATGTAGCAGAGTAGAAATACAATGGTGCCCTTAACGGCTTTATATAGTTACTTTGTCCAAGCCGCTGAATGAACTGAAGATCAGTGATCATTCTTCTTCTGATTTAAAATGCCCAAGATGAACAATGAGCAAACTATAAAACAAACTCTTAAAGTTGTCATCCTTGGGAAAGCCTCACAAATCCAAAAAGGAGAACAAATGTTTATTCTTGTATGTGCCTTATGAAGGTACCTAACAAATGTAACGACCTTTGAACCATACATTCTCCTCAACTCGTTTTGAATATTTCAATACTTGGGATCTATTTCGCAGAATCAGAATGTGCTTTTGTTTCCTCAAACATTTCTTGCTTAGAGTTAGCATCGACAGAAAATGCTTCTAAAGTTTCATCCAAAGTGATTTGAGCTTTTGCCACATTAGAATAACTTTCTTTGCCTTTCTTCTTTTTCATTTTCTTGGACTTATTCTTTGAAACCGGTTCTACATTATCAGCGTATTCATCCTTCTTCTCAACTATAGCCTCATTATCTAATCCTATCTCCTGCAGTAAAACCCAAGTGTTACAAAAGTGTAATGGATAAGGTCCAGACATCAAAACCAGAAACATCGTAACACATCTAAACTACCTACAACCAAGAAGAGATGAAGCCATGTCATAAGATTCACTACAGAAACATAATACCAAGAAAGTAGAATGTTTGTTACCTCATAAGTAAATGTCCTGACATGGATACCGAATGCTCTGGGCAGTCCAAAATCTACAAGCATTAGTGAGTTCGTGTGGCGATCAGTCAACAAAATTTGTGACTTTAGATCATGATGAAGAACCATGTGACAGTGGCAATACGTAATTCCACGGGATTCTGGTAAAGATATGTCTGCAACAGTAAATGAACAGCTCTGATCAGCCTGTATCAAGTACTAAAACACATCAAGACGATATTACATCGCTTAGAAATTAATAATATTCAGCGAAACTAAGCAAATAGATGTGTCATAATTACCAAAAGGAAGTTTATGGCATCATGAATTCATGACAAACCAAACAGCTTAACATTAAATTATTTTTAGGAGTATCTGGTTTGTTTATTTAAGAAGTGGCTTCACATGAAAATGCATTAAGCACATAATTTAAACAATGCCCAAAGTTTCTTAGCACTCACTTTGATCATATGTAGATCCTTCGAGAATTCAGGACATGAGTCCATGTGCTTTTTGAGATCCAAGTCCAGATACTCGAAAACCAAATATAAACGCTTCTCGCTGGGCACTACATCCTGCAACCTCCAAAGCGTCAACCAAAATTTTTCACCAGCATTGTTCACCAGATTCATGCTGCATTAGTTTTAAACAATGGTATTAACTTCATACTTGAAAATGTTGTTGTGCTGCATTTCTTTCAAGATGGAGATTTCTCCAGTTACTGTAATAAGTACACCTTCATCGTCCTACTCGAACCGGAGTTCGGTCAAAGCTGTTGTCCCATTGGTCACCTTGTCTCATGCCTTGTACACCACACCATTATTAGTATGAGTATTCAAACTGAGATTCGTCAAAGAGTAACCAGTGACTATGAACTGAAAAAAAATGATCATTTCATCAACCGGATCCATCAATTCTAGAATAAAGAAGCTGAAGTATATTCATCCTTGTAAAACTGAATGTAACAACACGGATAAGCGAAAATTTCCCCGGCAGTTTGATGATGAGGCATGACAGCCTATATGCGCACATTCCACAACCGAGTTTGATTATACATGGAAGAAAGAAAAAATGAAAAAGGAACTGTGATTTGATTCCTTGGTCAGACTGAGAAAATGAAACAATATAAAATCAAATAGAATAAATCAGAAAAATAGAACAAAATCAGCGAATTTGCATTTCTCCAATCCAAACAAACATCAAGGCTCAAGCATAATAAGTGACGCACAACATAGTGAATGTTGCAAACGAAAGCAGCGTCAATGAAGCTACTGGAATTTACTGACTCTAACCCCTTTGGTTATTTTCATGTGTACTTGCAACATAATCGCCTGTGTCTCAAGTAAGAGCGTCGCCTCAACAGGACATTCCTATCTCAGGGTCGGATATGCTGTAAAACTTTAAAGGTAAGAGGAAGTTCATTGAGTTGTAAACTTAAATTTTAAAATCCGGTGTGAAATTATTAAGATACGTTGTGTACCTCACTGTATATAAATAGACTATAGGGTGAGTGAGTCAATAGGTAATGAAATGTTTGAAACACATACATCACGCTACATGAGGTTGAATAAGCAGCTGATTAAATTCCACGAAGCAGCACTTTATCAAATCCAAATACACAATTCAATTTGAATGCAGTTTGAATCACTTAAACCCTTTTCAACTTCTACTACTGCATTTATCAACACATATACTAATAAGCACAATTCCAGACAGTACAATCGACTAGACAATCTAATCCTCAAATTTTGGGGGGTAAAAATCCAATATACTGACCTTTTCGGAGTGAAGATCTTCATCACCTTCGCTGAAGAGATCAAAAGTCTAAGAACAGACAGACTGTACGAAGATTCTAAGAACAGACAGACTGTACGAAGATTCTCGTCTTCTTCTTCTTCATCATCGTGATGATTCCGATAGACCCCTCCCTTAGTCTAAGAACAGACAGACTGTACAAAGATTCTCGTCTTCTTCTTCTTCATCATCGTGATGATTCCGATAGACCCCTCCCTTAGTCGTCGTTTATGCTCGTTCAATCTCTCTGCCTCAATTGCTGAAACAGTAAATCGAGTAGGATAGATGATTCCGATCCAGAAGCTCACCGAGAACTCGGGGAAAGGAGAATAAGGGCTAGAAGATGATCTACGAAAGAGAAGAGATCGTCTCGGAGCACCAGATTCAGGTGGAAAGAGGTTGATGATGATATGAGAGAGAAAAGATAGATTTGGGAATAAAAATGATTCTGATTACTTTCTGCAAAAGGCCTTTAGGCGGTACATAAGGTGTGACAAGATACGCACGCACGAGTCCACACGCGATCGGTACAATAAAAACCAGGAAATTAAACCGAAATACTACTAAGGTTCTCAACCAAACTTATTCAAGCAATAAATCATAAAGGTGGATAAGGAGAGTAAGGAGAATCCGATATCAATACTCTCCTCTCGACAGCAAACCTGTCCTCAAGTTTGAAACTCTGGATACTTCGCCATGAAGTCTTTGTAGAACTCCCATGTCGCTTGATTAGGAGGGTAGCCCTTCCACTGAACAAGAACCTTAGTCACTGCAGTATTCTGACGCTTAACCATCTTCTTCTCCAGAATGGCTTCAGGTGTTTTATCAGTGCCCAAGTCGACCCAAAATTGAGGCAGAGCAGGATCGGATGAAGGAGGATTTGGGCATAGTTTGAGCTGACTCACATGAAACGTGTGGTGGACAGCAGCCTCAGGAAGAAGTTGCAGCTTGTAAGCGGCTGGTCCCACAGTATCGAGAACACGAAATGGACCATAAAATCGTGGGGATAGCTTATGCGGTGCTCTTTTGCCTTTCAGTGAGTTCTGTCTGTAGGGTTGGAGCTTAAGATACACAAAATCCCCGATTTTGAACACACGGTCTGAACGATGAGAGTCAGCAATCTGCTTCATTCTGTTCTGAGCCCTGAGCAGGTGGAATTTGAGAAGATTGATGACCTCTTCTCGCTTTTGCAGGTTACGATCTACAGTAGCAGAGGAACTCTCGCCCGGAAGATAAGGGAGGTGAGTAGGGGGTGGCTGACCGTATAGGATTTCAAAAGGAGTACTTTTGATGGCGGAGTGAAATGTCGTGTTGTACCACCACTCTGCCCAGGAGAGCCACTTGCTCCATGAATGAGGTGTGTCTGAGGTCATGCAGCGTAGGTAAGTTTCGAGCGTCCGGTTGGTAACTTCGGTCTGACCATCCGTCTGGGGGTGGTACGCCGTAGAAAACTTCAGATCAACGCCGTGCACACGAAACATTTCCTTCCAGGTGTCACTCAGAAAAGTGGGATTTCTATCACTGACTATATCCTTTGGCATCCCGTGTAACTTGAAGACCTGATCCAGGTAGAGCTGCGCAACATCCATTGCTGTGTACGGATGAGAGAGAGGCAGAAAATGCGCATATTTACTTAACCTGTCGACGACGACCAGTATACAGTGTTTGCCCGCAGAAGGAGGGAGACCCTCTATGAAATCCATGCTTATAGATTCCCAAACAGCAAGAGGGATTGGTAAGGGGTTAAGAAGACCCGGTTTGGCTGATAAGTCATTCTTGTTCCTTTGACATACAGCACAATTCCGCACATAATTCTGAACCTCTGTACTCATCCTTGGCCAGTAAAATAGAGACTTTACTCGCTGTAAAGTTGCATCGCGACCTGAGTGCCCCCCTATAGCGGAGTCATGAAGCCACTTGAAAATGTGTAGTTTGACCTCAGTGTTGTTACCTACAACCAACTTGCCTTTCCTGCGGAGTTCGCCATTGCTGAATGTGAATGCTGGATGAGAGTGCGGGTTATTCTCGAGCTCGGTAATAATACGAAGAAGAGATGGATCTGTTTTCCACAGTAATTGCAGAGAGTCGTAAAACTCCTGATGAGCCTGGGAGAGTGTGATATGGAGGAGCTCAGACCCAGTGACCCGAGACAAGGCATCAGCTGCACAGTTTTCCTTACCTTGTTTATAATGGATCTCATAAGTATATCCCATGAGTTTAGAGAGCCATATCTGCTGAAACGGAGTAGATACTTTTTGCTCCAACAGATACTTGAGGCTCTTTTGATCGGTCTTGATGACGAAAGGGCGATGAGCTAAGTAGGCGTTCCAGGATTGCACTGCGTGTACTACCGCCATAAGCTCCTTCTCGTACACTGAGAGCGAATGATGACGCGGTCCAAGTGCTCTACTAATGTAACAGATGGGGTGATTATCCTGCATAAGGACAGCACCGATACCAGTGTTAGAGGCATCCGTTTCCACCACAAAAGGCTTGTCAAAATCTGGCAGGGCAAGAACAGGGGATGTTGATAGGGCAGTTTTGAGAGCCGCAAAGGCAGTGGAAGCCTCAGAATTCCAAGTGAATCCGTCCTTCTTAAGAAAACTGGTTAGAGGACGTGCCACAACACTATACCCTTTAATAAACCTGCGATAATAATTAGCCAAACCAAGAAAACTCCTTAGCTGCTTCTGAGAAGTTGGAACTGGCCATTGGGCAATGCTCTGGATCTTGGAAGGATCCGTACTCACACCTGCCTCTGAAATAAAGTGTCCCAAATACTCGATAACAGTAGCTCCAAACGTACACTTTGAAGGCTTGAGGAACAGCTGGTTCCGACGTAGAATAGAGAAAACTTCAGCAAGATGGTTGAGGTGGGATTCCCAAGTGGAGCTGTAGACCAAAATATCATCAAAGAAAACCAGGATGAACTTGCGCGTCACAGCTCGAAACACATGATTCATCAGACCCTGAAAAGTGAAAGGGGCATTTGTCAGCCCAAAGGGCATGACCAGATACTCATAATGGCCTGAATGAGTTTTAAATGCGGTCTTGTAAACATCATCAGGGTGCATCCGCAGTTGGTTAAACCCAGCCCGTAAATCCAACTTGGAGAAGTACTTAGAACCACCCAACTCGTCCAACAGATCCTCCAGAAGTGGTATCGGGTATTTGTCCTTCACCGTCTGTTTGTTTAGTCCTCTGTAATCAACACATAATCGCCATGTACCATCTTTCTTCTTTACCAAGACCACAGGGGAAGCATACGGGCTGTTGCTGTATTGGATAATACCTTGGTTCAACATTTCCCGGACCATTTTATCAATCTCGTCCTTTTGGAGGGAAGAATATCGGTATGGGCGTTGGTTGACAGGGTTAGCCCCGGCTTCAAGCGGGATGTGGTGATCAAACCCATCTCGGAAAGGAGGGAGAGTTGCAGGTGCTTCAAATAGATCGCTGTATTCACTGAGGAGGGGCTGTAGTGAGCTATCCGCAGAGGGGTCGGTTTCTCCTGCTGAAAGGTGGGAGAACAACAGGTCGGGTGTAAACGGGGAATCATCATATTCCCGAACTTGTAGCATAGCTATCTGAGGTTCCTGCAGCAACAGCTTGTTCAAACAACCACCCTTGACAACCTTCAAACCGGATTTAGTAACTCCTCGGAGTTTATGGTGAATACCATTATAAGTAAATTCCATACGAAGGTTCAGAAAATCCCATAAGATTGGTCCCAGAGTACAGAGCCACTGAACACCGAGAACCAAATCACAACAATCGAGGGGTAAAGTACGCACTTCTGTAGTAAAGGTGTAACTCTGCACTCCCCAAGTGAAATCTGAACACTTGAAACTGGTGAGAAGACGGTTACCATTTGCAGCTGCCACCGTCATTGGTTTGATTTGTTCTAAAAGGCAACCAAGTTCCTTGGCCATTGCGATATCCAGGAAATTGTGGGTGCTTCCGGGATCAACCAGAATGTGGATCTTTCGTTTGCCATAATCCCCTACTACTCGCATACAGTGAAGAGTTGAGGTGCCACTGAGAGCATGAACGGAAATCACAGGTGATTTCTCGGAGGAGTCATCAACTTCTTGCACCTGTACCCCTTCGGTGGTCTCTTCCTCATCAGAGAACTCCTCATCATCACACTCCATCATAGATA